CTCTCTCTCTCTCTCTCTCTCTCTCTCTCTCTCTCTCTCTCTCTCTCTCTCTCTCTCTCTCTCTCTCTCTCTCTCTCTCTCTCTCTCTTCCTCACAACATCTCAATGCGGGTAGTCTGTCACCTCTCACCCACACAGAGTTGTCACCCCGCTTAGTCCGGGCATGCAAGCCAGGTTCGCCCGTGCGCCGCTGTCCATCACGGTCCCACGTCAACCCTGCATACCCAGCACCAGCCCGTTGGATCGCCCAACTCTCTACTCGCCCTCCGACACTTGCTCATTAACCAATCCTTTCGACCTCGCTAACTCCAAAATTCACAGAGAGTGAGTTAATCGCGCTTGCGAAATTTATAGCATGCATGCTTACACGAGATACTCGGGATTGTGCCTAAGTGGGAAGGAAGGAGGAGGAAGGAACGAAGTGCCTACGACTGCATGGCCAGGCCGCAGCGTGGGGGACGTAGCCACACTCCACACATTGATCCGGTCATGCAAGCGTTCAGGCCAATAGGATAGGGGGAGAAGTGTGAGCGGATAGGGGGGCCACAAAGGATATCAAGAACAAGAGGATTACAATTACAATCACGCCCGCCAAAACAGAAATTACAGTTACACGTAAGATTAAGGCGAGAAAAAAGTCAGAGCACAGATCCTGATGCGGCAAAGCGTTGGCAAGCAAGAATCATCGTGCAGCAAAATTGCAATGCACCTAAATTCCTAGCCTAAATCCTAATTACAAAAAGAAATTCGGAGAGAAAACAATTCTGAGAGCCCGCGGGCGCCCGACATCAGTTGAAAATTCAAAAAGATTTTCCCGCGCGACGATCGCGCCAAAATTCCCACTACCCACAACTGAACTAGAAAAAAGCTATGGCAACAGTTATCCTTCGTGCTTGCTGAGGCACGATAAACTACCATTCGTCGTGGGACCATGCCCGCCTCAATCCCCCCCCAAAAAAACAAGAAAAACAAAGGCACCCATACAATCCTACGGGCCCTAACCCAAAAATTGTGATTAAAAAATACTTACTGTAATCTTCTTTCCATGTGCACTTCACAAAATACTGGAAACGGGATCCAGCGGCCTAGCTCAGTTGGTGTGGCACGCAAGTGGCATTCAGGAGGTCTTGGGTTCAATCCCCATTGGCCTCATGTACCTTCCTGGGCGTGCTTGGCGCCTGCCACCTAGAGATAGCCCGTTGGTCCCCCCAATTGGCATTTAAAAATTGGCATTTAAAAAGCAGTCTGTCCTGATGTTCATAGGGGGAGGGGTACTCAGGGAGGCACAGCGACTGGCCACTCAGATGATGCTCGGTCCCTCTGCTACCGGCTGTCCCCTGGCCGGTGCCCCCCAGTGGGGGATCCCTGAAGGCTATCAGGCCACCCTAAGGCTATCAGGCCACCCTGGGCTGAAAAGGCCACGGTTGTCAGATTAGACACAAGATTGAATTTACCTGGGCTGGTTAGTCCGATGATAATACCTCCAGGCCATCGCCCTTCATTAAAAAAACGAAAAAAAAAAAACTTGAAACGGCTGCACTTGAAACCGAGCTTGCCCAATCCTGGACAAGGATCGCCGGCTGGAAAAAAGAAAAACAAAAAAAAGCCCCACTTGGAGTGCTGGCGGTATCCGCTGGCACTTGAACTCAACGCTTCCGAGAGAGGTACCTTGAGTTCAAGTGCAATTTTGCCCCAGCCGCACTCCAGTTTTGAGGGCTGACACTAGAAAGGGGGAAATTAGAAACAACTCCGCGGCCAGGTTAGGGTGGGGTCGAAAGAAGAAATTTCTTTCAACCCTTGAGTTCAAGTGGCGTCCAACGAGGCCCGTACTCTTCTTCCCGGCCAAGGCACACTGGGCAATGATCCCACAGCACCTGATTTGGCCCCCCACTTGCAAGGGGGAACCAAGCGGAGGTTCCTGTGCCACCATCGGAACGAGTTGTTGCTCAGGTCTGCAAAGGCGGAAAATATCCCGCGTTGGTGCTGTCTTCTGCAGCCTTTTCGGTGTTATTGTATATCGAATATATGAGATAATCAATAGTCTATGAAACAAAAACATAAATCTAATTACTAGAAAAAGCACTCACTCATTTATACGAGAAAATTCAAATTACAATTATAGATTATACCATGCAATCAACAGAATGAATGGTTCTTATTGATTCTTGATTTTGAATAGTATTTATTGTTGTATTCAAGAATGAATCAATAGTTATGAATGTTATAATATTTGTTGGTTTCCCCTCTCAATCTGTTTGCTGGGGGAAGAGGCGTGTAAGAGTATTCGGCGCGCGGGCTCTAGATACATATGGAAACCACTGGCGGACGACGACCAGGGCTTTATTATTAAGGTTTCCTGGGATGCGATAACAATGCCTAGAAGCCAAGGGGGATTGGGAGTATTGGACCCACATACGCAGAACTTAGGATTGCTGGCTAAGTGGGTGGTTAAGGCAWTGTTTGAAGATCCTTCCAAGCTTTGGATTAGACTGGCTGAATATATTATGGGCCAGGAATGGGCCTTATCGACAGAGGGCAGTGTTTGGCAGTGTTGTTTAATGCCTTCCTTTTTGAACAGACGGATAAAATCTAGAACYTGGCGTGGTATTCTGTTTGCTTGGAAGAAGATCTTYCCTCAGGCCGTCAAACAGCCTAGTTCTAGGTTGGAAGTGGCCAATCAGAATCTGTTTGATAATCATTGGATAGTTACGCCAGAGGGGACAGTCTTTGCRGCAAAAGACGGTAAGGGGAACTTTGGAAGATCATGGGTAGAGAAAGGAGTCTTACAGATTAAACATCTTTGGAATCAGGAGGTGGATGATTGGATAACTGGGGAAGAATTAAAAGTCCTTCTTCCACGTCTGCATAGAGTTCCAGAGAACTTAAGACTCCTTTTGAATGCTATCCCCCCCCACTGGAAAGCTATGTTAAAAGAAATGACAGAATTCGGAGAAGGCTCCTGGCTGTTCTCAGAGAATGATCACCGAAAGATCTGGAAGGTATTGGGCCCAGATTTAAGTAAGGGACAACGTATTGAAGAGTGGCAGTTGTTAACTGCAAATGCGGTGTCTGGACCCCTCCGTCAGGTACACGAACTAACAGTGCCAAGCACCATGGGGCTTAAGAAGCCAGGGTAATTCAGCAGAAAAGAAAATGTCTTCTTCTGGGGGTAGGGGAAAGCTATCGCACTGAGCCACTGCTGCACGGCTGGAATTCTGCATCTCATAAGGTGGCAAATAACTGCAAACATCAGGGGAGGGTCCCACTCATACAGTACAACACTAAGGGGGGAGCTGGTTTCCTTCAGTAGCTGAGGACTGCACCTCCTGCTACCCTGGCCGGTGAGAGATATACCAGATTAAAAGGCCAGGAGGCCCGGCAAACGGATTGGGCAGGCTTATGGAAGGGGTTGAGGAAAATTCCCTCCCAAAAGGCAGCTAGTTTGATGTGGTTGCAATCCTTGCAGGTTGTTCCTACAGCACAGTGGCTAACAGCAAAAGGGATGGAAGTCTCGTCCACTTGTTTACGGTGTAACTGGGGTTGGGAATCGAATGCCCATGTATGGGTTTGCTGCCCACTGGCTGACGAGATTGGTATGKGGTGGATATCACACTGGACCAGGATGGTGGGGGAGGCCTTCCCATGGAATGATGACTGGCTTGTCTATGGTATCTTCCCCAAGCCGAATCTGTATTTTACGGCAGGTCTGGGCTACGTGGCCTTGGTTTGTAGAGGGATTTTACTTCAAGAAATTTGGAGAGCAAGAAACGCATGTGTTTTTAAAAAGGAAAAAGTCACAGTCTTCCAACAACAGCATCAAATCAGAAAAAATCTGAGACACATGATCATGGCGGACTGGAGGATGTGCTTGTACCCGCAAGGGAGATCCCGTCAGTGGTTTCTGAAGACATGGGCCAGGGGCAATGTTCTCGCCTCCATCGACAGTAATAGAAAACTGAATCTTTGTAATTGGTTACAGCCGGATTAGGCTTAGCTCGCCCCGAGCTAACCACCACGATTATCGTGGCTAGGGATGGCCGCATTAGGCCGGGAGATAGAATTCAGAATCAATAATGAGTTGGAGTTTCTCCAACAGAAGGTCACTCAGGAGCCTTGGAAGTGTTTATAGTTAGTCAGGCGGATAGGCAAGGATTTACTTAGTGATAGTCTTGCCTCATCCGATTGACTCAGAACAGGTCCTGAAGCCAAGCGGTTGCAGCTTCTAAATTCCAGTATTACATATGTTGAGGTGAGAAGTGGGCTGTTACAGGGAAAGCCTGACTTAGTTGTTCTGCAACCAGGTAATGTATCAAGGCCAGGGAGAGAGAATTGTTGTTCCTAGGTTCCCCCTTTTTCTACGCTTCAAGCTGTGTTTTTTTGGGAAGTCCTTCTCTTTGTGGGAAGTTGAGTGGTTTGGGACGCTGGACCCGGTTTCCAGCAGGACTATTTGGTGACTCCGGGTTGAATTGTGAGGTCCCCGGCCTCGACTTTCGTATCTGAATATAATATCAATGACTTCTCAAAAAAAAAAAAAATCCCGCTTTTTTGCAGCAGAAAACGTGATAAGGTAGGCCAAAACTGGTCTGAATAATGCTGCCTCGCGAAAAAGCAAAAAAAGAAAAGCAAGGCATCCCGGTTCACCTGGGGTGGATGGACTGCGAGGAATCTTCCGGGCAGGTGGTGATTATCGCATCCTCGTAGGGCAAGCGACTGTTGCTTGCAGCGCTGTCGTCACTGTCGCTGTTGCTACTTTCATAGTTCGGACTATGGCTACCGTGCCTCGCACTAGGACTCAGCAGCTCATACCTTGTAGTTTGGGTGTCAGTCGTCATTGTTTGTCCTCCTATCCTCTCAAGGACCCGTACCACAGTCCTCATGCTTGGCCGTCGCTTCGCCGTGTGATGCACGCAACGGCCGGCAAGTACTGCCATCGCGTGCATTTGGGAGCGGTCAAAAGCTCCCCGAAGCTCAGGGTCGGCAATGAGCCGTGCAACACGCTCGACCGCGCCCGCTTCGTCGGATTCACCCAGTGGCACCTCCTCTCTCACCTCTCTCAGGATGCTCTTCACCCATCGAACCAGGCAGAACTTGCCCGTCGCAATAGGACGCCTTCGTGTGATGACTTCCAGCAGCAAAACGCCATAGCTGTAAACATCCATCTTCTCTGTCGCGATCAACCCCTCCTCTGAGTCAGACATGGCTTCCGGCGCCATGTAGCCCGGCGTTCCTGCTCGACCCGACAAGTAGGCCACGCTGTGCGAGATGACCTTGCGACAGAGTCCAAAGTCGCTAACTTTGGGTGTGAAGTCGTCGAGCAGGAGGACGTTTGCAGGCTTAATATCTCGGTGAACCAGCGGAGGACTTAGGCCGTGATGAAGGTACTCCACCGCGCTCGCGATCTCCAGTGTGACGCGCAATCTTGTCCCCCAGTCCAGGCACGATGGACGGCCTTCCCGATCTTCGTTCGGTCTGTGGAGGTGGTCGTGGAGAGTTCCGTTGGGTACGAACTCCGTAACGAGGAAGCGTCGTTGATCCTCGCAGCAGTAGCCGACGAGACGAACCAGGTTTCTGTGAGCGATGGCTCCCAGAGCGGACACCTCCTGCAGAAAGTCTCCCTCGCTTCGCCAGCGATCTCCCTTCAGAGCCTTCACCGCAACGACTTCCCCCGGTTCCCCGCTCCTGCCGCGGCCAAGAGTCCCCTTGAACACCAACGCACTCCCTCCTACGCCTATTACCGTCGAGAAATTCCCCGTGGCATCCGCGAGATCTTCGAAGGAGAAAACTATCAAACGTTGCAGTGCGTCCGCGGCCGTTTTCGGTTCGGTAATAACTTCTCTGCCAGGACTTGCCCAGCCGAACCCCCACCCGGCTGCTGCTGCCAAGACAGCCACCAAAGGAAACGCGATGGCGAGCGGGAGGACCCAGACAGATTTGCGCCGTTCCCTTGACGCCCCCGTCCTCTGCGAAGCTGGGACGACATTCTCCTCTGCATCCAGCGGGAAGACCGGTCGGCCATCCCATAGGACGGAGAGATTGCAGTTCGTCAAGCCCTCGTCGTAACAGTCGCCACACTGCGTAAGATTCTTCATGACCAAGACCACATCTCCTTCGCTCTCCACCGTCGGAGGGCGAAGACCGTCGTCGTCACTCCCAACCAAAGACTCTGAGCTGCAGATCTGCACCTCTAGAGTGCGATTACCCGCTCCAACTGACGTCATCAACACATCTGTCCTGTTGGCAACCTTTCGCACTGTCAGTGGGAAGTCGGTTTTGTCGAAACGCACACCGCACAGTCGGACGTGCTCACGTGGCAAGCTGAGCGCCGGCCCCGGCCCCAAATTGTCATTCACGATCGAGGAAGTGTTGCTGTTTATACGGAGAGCCCCGGTGCTGTAGTTCCCTACGAGGAAAGTGCAGTTGATGAAGGACACGGTGGTATTCGGCCCTGCTGCATTCGCAGTGCGGTTATCGGCATGGACCGGCGATAACGGTGGAGGTAAAGCTGGCGATGAAGGGGAGGAGGAGCCGAAAAAAGACCCTAACATATTATATTCGAACTGCAATTCCACTCGCCCTACCTGTGGGTTGTCGTTGATCAAGCGCTTGCCAAACGTGCAGTTCAGAAAGCTGAGCCTTCTTTTTGGGTTATAATAACTTCCCACCGTCACCTTGAGGGCGCAAAGACCTACCGCCTGTGGCTCGAAAACTGTGCGCGTGATGCAAGCCGTCCGAGGAAGGTTCACGAAACTCGCAGCCTCCTGATTCTGAACGAAAAAGCAACCGTCGATTATGAGGTTCTTCTCCCCGCCGACTCCTGATTCATCAGGTGGATGAGAAGAGTAAAGGAACATTAAGTACCGGCACCTACGCACCACGCAGTTGTGAAGCTCTACCTTGACATTTATAAATATAAACGTCATAGCGTTAAACTCCATGTCATAGAAAGCAAGAGACCCCCATCCAGACGTGCCGTTGTACGTTAAATCGAGATCCGAATCCGTCCCGCCGTCCACGATGCACCTGCTGTTGGCGCATTCGCCTCTGATCGTCAGATCAAGGTTCGGATCCATTGTCCCCTCTTCAGTAACTCGTTCTAGTGATACGTCATTCATCACGCGAATCAGGATTCGTGATGACGAACCCGGATTCGCTCTCCTTAACATTTGTGACCGTAACGCTGCTCCTGTATACACCTTCACCTCCTCCACGTCGGTCTGCCCATCAACTTCAACTTGCTGCAGCAACCTCAGCCCTTCTTCGCGCGTCAAAGACACGGTGGCCATCGTCTCCCTAATAGTTTTGAGTAGTACGACATCCTTACTACTATCTCCTCCTATCCCTCTTCCCTGCCCTTCCTCAAGACTCCGTTCCTGCTCAGCTTCGCTTGTATATATTGCCATATTTAGCAATGCCCAGAGCGCAGCCGCGGTCCAGAAAACAGTCTTCATCGGCCTCCCAGAGCGTTTGTCCCTTGTGGCAGTCGTTGCTCTCTCTCTCTCTCTCTCTCTCTCTCTCTCTCTCTCTGTTACATGCACAGATATGTGATGTTCGTAATTACCGAGGAACTGCATTGTGATAAAAAGGACTGAAATGGACAATGCGGTGAGAGTAGAATCTCGACAGACAATGTGCATTCTCATACATACAA